GCTGAACACTCTAACACTACATTTTTAAACCTACCCCATACCTCTTCGACCCCATTGCCTATGCTCTCATTAGCCTATCTATCCTCCAATAGCTGTTTATATCTTACCCTAACTGCCTCCTCTTTTAGTTTATGAACCTTCACCTCTCTCTTCCCTGATGCTTCTATTCTCCTTGTATCCCATCTACCTTCTACTCTCAGTGTAGCTACAACTAGAAAGTGATCTGATATATCTGTGGCCCCTCTATAGACATGTATATCCTGAAGTCTACTCAACAGTCTTTTATCTACCAATACATAATCCAACAAACTACTGTCATTTCGCCCTACATCATATCTTGTATACTTATTTATCCTCTTTTTCTTAAAATATGTATTACCTATAACTAAACCCCTTTCTATACAAAGTTCAATCAAAGGGCTCCCATTATCATTTACACCTGGCACCCCAAGCTTGCCTACCACACCCTCTCTAAAAGTTTCTCCTATTTGAGCATTCAGGTCCCCTACCACAATTACTCTCTCACTTGGTTCAAAGGCTCCTATACATTCACTTAACATGTCCCAAAATCTCTCTCTCTCCTCTGCATTCCTCTCTTCTCCAGGTGCATACATGCTTATTATGACCCACTTTTCACATCCAACCTTTACTTTAATCCACATAATTCTTGAATTTACACATTCATATTCTCTTTTCTCCTTCCATAACTGATCCTTCAATATTACTGCTACCCCTTCCTTTGCTCTAACTCTCTCAGATACTCCAGATTTAATCCCATTTATTTCCCCCCACCGAAACTCCCCTACCCCCTTCAGCTTTGTTTCGCTTAGGGCCAGGACATCCAACTTCTTTTCATTCATAACATCAGCAATCATCTGTTTCTTGTCATCCACGCACATTCAAGCATCCCAGTTTTATAAAGTTTTTCTTCTTCTCTTTTTTAGTAAATGTCTACAGGAGAAGGGGTTACTAGCCCATTGCTCCCGGCATTTTAGTCGCCTCATACGACACGCATGGCTTACGGAGGAAAGATTCTTTTCCACTTCCCCATGGACAATAGAAGAAATAAAGAAGAACAAGAACTATTTAGAAAAAGGAGAAAAACCTAGATGTATGTATATATATATGCATGTGCGTGTCTGTGAAGTGTGACCAAAGTGTAAGTAGGAGTAGCAAGATATCCCTGTTATCTAGCGTGTTTATGAGACAGAAAAAGAAACCAGCAATCCTACCATCATGCAAAACAGTTACAGGTTTCTTTTTGGGTCACCCTGCCTCGATGGGAGACAGCCAACTTGTTAAAAAAAAAAAAAAAAAAAACTTGCAGTAGTTAAATGGACACATGAAACTTAGAGACATTTATTAAAGCATTGTTTTACTCACCATAAGACATCAGTCACTTCAAATACCTCATACCACTGCCACTCATGGCTCTTCCACCAGTGAATGTTGAATGCATGAATAGCTGTTGAGCTATCATTTAATAACTTGCAGTATAATTGTGAATCAGAAACATTGGTGTTTTCTTCCAAGACATGGAGAAGGAAGGAGGGGGCATGAAGACACTAATAAATTGAGGGGGCTTGGCCAGTTGCCCCTCTTGCAAAGGAACTATGAAAATGAACAGTTCCTGGATGAAACCTGAACAAGACAGACTTGTTAAGCAGACTTGGTCCACTTTATTGATGGTATGACTAGACTGGATATCTGTGTGGTACAGTGGATATGATCCACTGCATTTTATCAGACACTCCATTAAATGCATATATTGACCCATTGTCTGGCCTGATTGCTTGTCTGTTTTAGTCAATATTCACTTTATGAAGGTCTGTTTTTATAAAGGGTTTATTGTGTGCGTGTGCGTGCGTGCGTGCGTGTGTTGGTGTCAGTTTGCATGACTGTGTTACTATTTGACTATCACTTTCTATAGTATATTGAATATTCATGTCCTAAGAATTCTGGATCTTAGCAGATGTGACCTCCATGTACCAGGTTATCCTTCCCTGTTAATTACTTTTAATCCCTTTGGTATATAACTCACTGAAGAATTTGTAGACCACCTGAATAATGATTAATTGATTCCCCAATGATCCACTCTGGTCCCCTCTACTCACTATGATGCATGAGTATGATATACATATATCTTGTTGTACAACATTCTTTTGCATTATATAAAATGATTGCTTGATAATAATCTCTGTAGAATCTTCCAGTTTGTTTATATTGTATGTATTGTTAGATTATCTGCCTGTATGATTGAGAGTGGTAAGGAGCCCTTGGAAGAATGCACAATGGCTCTGTCTGCTTTAGGGAGTAAAGATATATGTGAGCCTGCCAGCTGTAGGTTGTCAGTTAGGTGTCTGCCTACATTTGAACTCCACAATGCATGTGTGGTATCACAAATTAGCTGTCCCACCCATGTGCAGATTGGGGGTATGACAAGTCTGATTCAACTGTTGGGATGCTGTAAACCATAACCCATCATTCCTGGTTATATTTTATCCAAGAAAAAGGGCAAATCTTCAATTTTTGTGTGTGTGAGGAATTCAAAATGGAAGGCAACTGTAATATAAGAGAAGCCTGGGGACATGAATTCAACATTTTTTTTGCTTTATATGGCTCAACATTGTACAGCTTAACCCTTTTGCTATCCATACCCCCAAAATTAAAATTGCCCTCAGTGATGACATTTATATAAAAAAAAAAGTTACGAAATGGTAGAGAATGTTTTTCTGAAGGTAATGATACCAAAATTACAAAATTTGATGGAAAACTTGTTGAAGAGGTCTGGGTGTAATTTACATATCAGTGATTTTACCCACTTTGAGTCTTATTTTTAAGTTAAGCCAATTCCATTGCTGCATTTGATTAAATTCTTAGTTATTTCACTAGTTTCCCTTTTGATTTTTTTGAATGAGCATAAGAAACTACCCATTCAACTTAACCCCTTCAGGGTCCAAGGCCCAAATCTGAAGTGGTGTCCCAGTGTCCAAGAATTTTCAAAAAACAATTTGTTATTTTTTCTTATGAAATGGTAGAGAATCTTTTTGCGAAGGTAATAAAACAAAAAGTACGAAAATTGATGGAAAACTGACGAAATTATGCTCTCGCGAATTTTGATGTGTCAGCGATATTTACGAATCGGCGATTTTGCCGACTTTGACTTCCATTTTAGGCCAATTACATCATTCCAGTCAACCAAATTCTTAGCTATTTTACTAGTATTACTTCTATTCTATCGATTGAGCACAAGAAATCACCAAGTCAACTGTTTCAACTACAAAATAAAGTGATCGGAAATTGGTAATTTGGCCAGTTTAACACAAAGTTCAAAATATTCCAATTTCAAAATAGCATCCAGAATAAACAATGTAGGCATTCCTGGCACTAAACTAACATTTCCTCGGTTCATTAGTTACGTTTTGAGGCTTTACAAATAAATCCCATTTTTATTTTTTATTTACATAATGAATTTTTATTCACACCAAAAAATAGAAGATTTACTGTTATGCAATATTGTAATAATTGTATAAATATCATCACCACATTTGTGAATGTGTATTAGATCCACCAGCTGGCGTGTATTAGACGTGTGAGGTCGTTTGTTTACTCTTGAACATCGACAAAAATTTAACATTTCTGCTACTTTGAGCTCAGTCTCAAGCCATTTCCAGTGCTAAAACCAATCAAAATCATCTCTATTTCTGTAATATGTCTTCCATTCTATCAAATGAGACCAAGAAATTGCAAATACAACTATAAAAAACATACGAAAAAACACTGCAAAATTGCTGTTTTAATCGAAAATCTTGGTTTCAGTTTTTTTTTCTCTCATTATACACAGTGTGCTGCAGGATTTGTTTTATGTGGTGCACACATACCACATAGATGTATTCTCTCATATCTAGGCCCAAGTGTACCACTCACAGTTTATCAGAGTGAGCTGAGCTCATGACGTAGATCTACGGTTTAGACACTGAATGCAAAGCCGTAGATCTACGGGACGGACCCTGAAAGGGTTAAAACTAGTGTATAAAGTACACAGAAGTCGGTAATTTGGCAAATTTTACACATTTCAATTCCAATTTAAAAATAATCCAAAATAAATGTAGACATTCCAGGCACTAAAACATTTCCTCTGTTCATTATTCATGTCCCCAGGCTTCTATATTACACTTGGTTTACATTTTGAATTCATAATCACATAAATTATTGAAAATTTACCCTATTTCTCAGCTAATAAAATGTAAGCAGAAATGATTGGCCAGGTTATAGGAAAGCATTGGTTTGGAATTAGGGTAGTTGATGAGTGGAACAGTCTGCCTAGTAGGGTTATTGAAGCTAAAACATTGGGTGGTTTCAAATTTAGGTTAGATAAATACATGAGTGAGAGGGGTTGGATTTGAGTGAAACTTGCATAATGAGTAAATAAAATCATCAAAACTTATTTCTTGGGTAGCATTGTAAATTGGGTTGGGCAAATAATTTGTTAGTGGGAAGGATTGTTAAGGACCTGCCTAGTATGGGGCAACAGGCCTGTTGCAGTGTTCCACCTTTCTTATGTTTATGTCATCCCAATAATTGAATCAGACGATTGAGAACCCATAAAACAGACCAAGGGGTGTAGGGGGCCTTCCCCATCCTCAGGAAAATTGTCCAAAATCTAATATTTCTGCTTCTTTGAGCCTGATTTCAAGCTACTTCCAGTCCTGAAACCAACTAAAATCATATCAAGGTCAGAGTTTTGCATTTCCCATAATGCACAGTGTGGGGCAGGATTTTTTTAAACATTGCACATTCACTGCACAGACCCACTTCTCTCTTGTACAGGCCAAAATTTACCACTCACAGCATGTCTGAGGGAACTGTGCTCAAAACATAGATCTCCATGAGAGATCTTGGTATCAATAACATAGATCAAATGACAGTCACTCAAAGAGTTAACCTGACGTAATTGCATAACTTTTCCTTCTTAATAATTTGTTTTTTTCTCTACACAGGAGAAAAAGAAGGTTAAAAAAGAGAAAAAGGAAAAGAAAGCGAGGGGAGCTAAATTAAACAGCAGTCAAGATTCACTACCTGAATCGCCTAGCAAAAAGGGCAAGAAGGAAGATGAGCCAGTTTGGAAATGGTTTGTATTGTGTCCCCTAGTAGGGAACAACTATTTTTCTGTTTACCATACTAGGCATTCTCGTATCACTTTCTGCTTCATTCCTGGATGGTATTTTGAGAATATATTTACTTAGTCTTGTAAGCTTGTCTTTTTTTGTTTCCCCACATTTTGGTTAATCATGGAGGTGTAAGGTCAGTCTTGTGTACACTCCTTAGTACAGTAAAACCTCCCTTGGTAGTTGTTGTCTTCCACCATACCTTGATGCCACTGTGTTCTTGATCTAAACAGTTAAGCCTATCCTCCCCCTTTTTTTTTATTTCCACCCAGTTGCCTCCCTTTATTCATGCACCGTATGACTTCTGTGGATTTACCACTTTCCCAAAATAAGAATAATAATAAAAATGTAATGTGACATTTACTCCACATGCTGGTGTTTGGTAAGACGTAAGTAAGGAGATGAGTGTTAAGTGAGATAGTGTTATTTGCAGCATCAAATGAGCCTTATAACACAAAACGTATGGCATTATTTCTGTTCATAAATCGGGATCAGATCAGTATCCACTCTCAAATATGTTGTGGTGTAATTATGCATTTTCTACATCTACCAGGTGTTAGCCCACATATTGCTTATGCTATGCAATTGAATGTGCTGTATTAGAGATGGATAATGTCTATGGTCAATGGTAAATATGGAAAGTACACTTTCTGCCCTATAAAAGTGTTAAATATTTACAATATCTTGAGATACATTATTTCATTGGGAGCAAAGATGTATTTGGGTATCTATATTTGTGATTTTTTAACCCTTTCAGTAGCTTGTAATAATGTTGGTAGAATTACCAACAATGTGTAAAGTAAAAGGACATAAGTGCAACTAATGTGACATTTTTATTGTGGCAATGTTTCGCTCTCCAGGAGCTTTGTCAAGCCGTTACAAACAGTACATGGACACAGAGGGTATATATAGGCTCCGAGTGAGGTCAATACTAGTGGTAGTAGTAGTAGTAGTAGTTAAACAAGTTGTAGTAGTAGTAGTACTAATACAATATGGTAGAACAATACACAAATAACCCGCACATAAAAGAGTGAAGCTTGCGACGACGTTTCGGTCCAACTTGGACCATTGACAAAGTCACACTAACCAGAAGTGGGGCAGGACGGCTATATATAGGCAGGAAGAGGTGGTGGTAGTAGTAGTAGTAGTACAAGAATGGTATATAATACCAACAAGATGAAATTAAGACACATGCGCAACACCCGGGCATCCCTATCGTAGATGTTTCGCCATCCAGCCAGCCACTGGATGGCGAAACGTCCACAACAAAGACAACCAGACGCCGCACATGTGTCTTAATTTCATCAGTGGTTGTAGTAGTAGTAGTGGTAGTGGTAGAAGTGGGAAATAAGGAGGACGAGCCAGTCAAATACAAAGGAAGGGGAGCACTGCAAGAGAGGTAGGTGCCCACTGAGGGAGAGCAAGCGCACAGAGGTGCGTGAAAGGGGAAGTGGTGAAATAAATGAAGAAGGAAAAGAAACACGAGACAGAAGAGAGAAAGACAACCCAGAGGAGAAAAGGAAAGAGGAAAGGGGAAGAGGGAGAAGAAGAAAAAGAAAAAGAAAAAGAAAAAATGAGAAGTCAGGTTAAGTCACGGGTGTTCTGAAGTTTGGAGCATTTTACAATGTAGTGGGAGAGGAAGGCATCTACAGAGACGAAGCCAGGGCTAAGGTTCATACAAGGAAAGTTGTGTATTAGAGAGGATTCAACTCGACTGCGACTGTTCGAGTTGGAAGTAGGGAAGACAGTTTTAGCAGAAGACCAGTCAATAGGATGGCTATGATCTCTGACGTGACAGAAAAGAGCATTGTTAGTGTCGGCAAGCCTAACACTATTTTTGTGCTCCCTAAGTCTGTCAGAAAGAGATCGACCAGTTTCTCCGAAGTATTGAAGAGGACAGGAGGAGCAAGAAATAGAGTAGACACCAGGAACATATGTAGAGGGAGGAGAGGTATGAACGAGATTAGTGCGAAGAGTGTTAGTCTGTCTTCTGAGGCAGGGCGGCCAAAAAAAGAAACTTTCACTATCATTCACAGACAATGAAAGGGTTAATTATATAATCAGACCTCTGGTCATGGTAGTCTAATTGGCCTACTTTGGTAGTCATTATAGAGCTACAGCATTTATTAGATGCAGTTCCATTTGTCAAATAAAGTGCTTTCTCTCAATTTCAGACATGTCTGAATGGCAGTTATGAGTGCTTGTATAATTAGCTTTCCTCTCATTATTGTGTATTTGCTTTTGAATGTTATACTGCAACTGATGAAATTATTTCTACGTTTCAGGTGGGAAGAGACTAAACGAGACGATGGACTTAAATGGACTTTCTTGGAACACAAAGGGCCATTAATGGCAGAAGCATATGTGCGATTGCCAAGCCACGTCAAGTTTTATTATAATGGGGAACCAATGGAGCTTAGTGAAGAGACTGAGGAGGTGGCAGGGTTTTATGCTCGAATGTTAGACCATGCGTATACAACTAAAGAAGTTTTTAATACAAATTTCATGAGAGATTGGAGAAAGGTGTTGTATTCATTTTTCGTTTTACAGTCTGTAACTGCTGTTTAATCTAATTTTTTTAATGATTGATTGCATTGCTTTAGGAAAATGACGCATGATTTTTCTTAATTTATAATTAGCTTGACATAATCACGACTACTACTACTAATAAGTTTTAATAGTAATTGCTTAAAATGTTTGCCATTTTGAAGATAGGATGTTTTAATTAAATTGGTCATAAATAGTAGTGATAAATGGTTTTGAAAGCCGACAAGTTGAAGATTGAGACACTCGTGCAGTATATGGGAATTTTTATTGAAGAAACGTTTCGCCACACAGTGGCTTCATCAGTCCAATACAAAGCAGAAAGGTGTAAGGAGAGGAGGAGTTGAGGTAATCAGTCCCTCAGCCTGGAATCGATGTGTTCAGTCCATCACTCTTGTAGTGATGGACTGATGAAGCCACTGTGTGGCAATGTTTCTTCAAAAAGATTTCCATAAATAGTAGTATAGATATTTTACGAGAATTAAGTAGTAATGAATAATTGCTGGGAGTGTTGTTTTGTTGATCATTCACACTGAGCAGTTAATAGTGTAACACTTGAAAATGTAAATTTCAGTAAAAGTAAACTGGCATTATTTTGAATAAACATTATAACTGAATTTTTATGCAATAAGTACTGGTTTGTTCTATTTTAATTCTTGAGTTAAGAAATATATGAATTATAAAAATTTCTTTGCAGTTCATTTTTGTGCTTCTGCACTGTTCCTTTGAGAATCATGTAAGGCCGATAACCTGCATAAAACTAATTGAATAATACCAGTTGATTAGTATAATAGAACTATGAAACAATGCTGAGCTATAAATATTGTCCTTTTTCATTGTAGGTTATGACACCAAAGGAGAAAGAAATTATCACAGACTTAAAGAAATGTGATTTCCGGCGGATTCATGCTTTCTATGTGCAACAAAATGAAGAAAGAAAGAATCGTACTAAAGAAGAAAGGAAAGCCCTCAAAGAAAAGAATGAAGCTTTAATTGTTGAATATGGATGGTGCAACATAGACGGTCACAGACAACGGATTGGAAACTTCAAGATAGAACCTCCAGGCTTGTTTCGAGGTCGTGGGGAGCATCCAAAACAAGGCATGCTGAAGAAGCGCACAATGCCAGAAGATGTCATCATCAACTGTTCAAAAGATTCTGCGATACCTAAACCACCATCTGGACATAAATGGAAAGAAGTTAGTAATAATAATTATGCACAATTTATATATTCTTGCAAGTTTTCAGCCAAAATACAAGTGCAGTGGTACCTTGACTTACGAGTTTAATTTGTTCCGTGACCAAGCTCGTAACTCAATTTGCTCGTATATCAGATCAATTTTCCTCATTGAGATTAACTGAAATGCCATTAATCCGTTCCAGCCCCCCAAAAAAACCACCCCAGATTTTTTGTTACGGGTTTTTAAATAAGAAAAATGTATTTATAAATCAATTTTTGCCTTTTTCGCCAGGTCCCAGCAATGTTTTAGAAATGCTGGAGTATATATGAAACTCCTTGAAGCACGGTACAAGATGAGTGTCACTCCATTGATGGCAGTGGAGTGACATTTGATGATCGTGCCCTGCCTTGGCTCGATTTTTCACTATTACACATAAACATGTCTGTTTCTATCTGTCTGTCTTTGTTTCTATCTATTTGTCTGGCTGTCTGTTTATCTCTGTCTTTCTGTCTGCCTGTGTTTCTGTCTTTCTGTCTGCCTGTGTTTCTGTCTTCCTGCCTCTACTTGTGTGTCTGTCTGAGAGAGAGCTGCTCATGAACCAACAACGTATTACACAGGATGCAGAGTTGTCATGGCTGATTCCTGAACAAGTGTAAATGTGTATTACTTGCCAGTCATGCTTATTATGCCTTGTATCTACAAGCATAGTATAACATTATGTCTGGATTTCTTGTGTTATCCTAGGTAATTTACACTATAACTATTTGTGTGTATCTGTGAGATAGAGATTGACAGACACACAGACAGAGAAGGAGATAGAGATAGCCAAAGCAAATCAGCCAGCCAGCTGGCCACCTAACCAGCCAGCCTGCTGAACATGTATTACATGTGTTCCAGAATTGTATCTCTTTACTTAGGGCATACATTATAGAACATTCTGGCAGGATGACATTACCAGTGGTATCAAAATTGAAAGGATGTTACACATTGGTTATTATTGGGGATTTTGATATTTCCTCGGTATCTCCTGTGAGTGGCGGTGTATCTGAAGCTCGCTCATAACTCTGATTTTAGCTCAGAACTCAGAGAAAAAAATCAACTGAGTGACGGCTCATAACTCAGAAAACTCGTAAGTTGGGGCACTCATAAGTCAAGGTACCACTGTATAGCTTGACAGCATTATGCATTAGCAGTGTAAATAAAACAGCAAGACCTTTTCTTTCTTCCAATGCACCAGCCGTATCCCACTGAGGGGGTGGCCCAAAATGAAAAACAAATGTCAAGACCTTTTAATTCTATAATATTCTCACTCTAGTTCCATATTTTGAGTATTTGTTAAATCTATCTCTGTAGATTTCCAGGATTCTATGATGTGATTATCATAGGAATGTCACAGCTCATCTTATTTACCCTAGATACACCCAAAGCAGGCCATTATATGATTGGATGAGTTTCTCCTATATACCATACATTTGGTAGTTAAATTTGTGTTGAATTTTGGTTTTGTGGGTTGGAAGTCAAGCGCTAAAAGTTAAACCTTTCACAATTTTGGGAGTGAAATATGTCAAGGGGTGGGTCTGTGAAAAGCAAGGTGTCATAGAATAAATTAAATAAAAAAAGAAATTGCTGTACTGTTAATGAACATAGGGACAGAGAAGTTTATCAGTGGATGCAAAGAAGGGAAATGTGACATACATTGACACTTTTGTGTTTACTTTGGCATAAGGAATGATATCTGAATATTGCAATAAAGAGAAGGTTAGATGCAGTCGAGATGTTTGTGGATTCAGGAAAAGCTGTTAACTTGACTTGAGTTGGGAAATGGGCAGTGTGTAAAGAAATAAGAGTAATGCATAATTATATAAATGCATACAGGGAAGAGGAGCGATTGGTGGAATGATGATGTAAAGAGAGTAGTAAGGGAGAAAAAGTTAGCATATGAGAAGTTTTTACAAAGTAGAAGTGATGCAAGGAGGGAAGAGTATATGGAGAAAAAGAGAGAGGTTAAGAGAGTGGTGAAGCAATGTAAAAAGAGAGCAAATGAGAGAGTGGGTGAGATGTTATCAACAAATTTTGTTGAAAATAAGAAAAAGTTTTGGAGTGAGATTAACAAGTTAAGGAAGCCTAGATAACAAATGGATTTGTCAGTTAAAAATAGGAGAGGAGAGTTATTAAATGGAGAGTTAGAGGTATTGGGAAGATGGAGGGAATATTTTGAGGAATTGTTAAATGTTGATGAAGATAGGGAAGCTGTGATTTCGTGTATAGGGCAAGGAGGAATAACATCTTGTAGGAGTGAGGAAGAGCCAGTTGTGAGTGTGGGGGAAGTTCGTGAGGCAGTAGGTAAAATGAAAGGGGGTAAGGCAGCTGGGATTGATGGGATAAAGATAGAAATGTTAAAAGCAGTGGGGATATAGTTTTGGAGTGGTTGGTACAATTTTTTAATAAATGTATGGAAGAGGGTAAGGTACCTAGGGATTGGCAAAGAGCATGTATAGTTCCTTTGCATAAAGGCAAAGGGGACAAAAGAGAGTGCAAAAATTATAGGGGGATAAGCCTGTTGAGTATACCTGGTAAAGTGTATGGTAGAGTTATTATTGAAAGAATTAAAAGTAAGACAGAGAATAGGATAGCAGATGAACAAGGAGGCTTTAGGAAAGGTAGGGGGTGTGTGGACCAGGTGTTTACAGTGAAACATATAAGTGAACAGTATTTAGATAAGGCTAAAGAGGTCTTTGTGGCATTTATGGATTTGGAAAAGGCGTATGACAGGGTGGATAGGGGGGCAATGTGGCAGATGTTGCAGGTGTAGGAGGTAGGTTACTGAAAGCAGTGAAGAGTTTTTACGAGGATAGTGAGGCTCAAGTTAGAGTACATAGGAAAGAGGGAAATTATTTCCCAGTAAAAGTAGGCCTTAGACAAGGATGTGTGATGTCACCGTGGTTGTTTAATATATTTATAGATGGGGTTGTAAGAGAAGTAAATGCGAGGGTCTTGAAAAGAGGCGTGGAGTTAAAAGATAAAGAATCACACATAAAGTGGGAGTTGTCACAGTTGCTCTTTGCTGATGACACTGTGCTCTTGGGAGATTCTGAAGAGAAGTTGCAGAGATTGGTGGATGAATTTGGTAGGGTGTGCAAAAGAAGAAAATTGAAAGTGAATACAGGAAAGAGTAAGGTTATGAGGATAACAAAAATATTAGGTGATGAAAGATTGGATATCAGATTGGAGGGAGAGAGAGTATGGGGGAGGTGAATGTATTCAGATATTTGGGAGTGGACGTGTCAGTGGATGGGTCTATGAAGGATGAGGTGAATCATAGAATTGATGAGGGAAAAAGGGTGAGTGGTGCACTTAGGAGTCTGTGGAGACAAAGAACATTGTCCTTGGAGGCAAAGAGGGGAATGTATGAGAGTATAGTTTTACCAACGCTCTTATATGGGTGTGAAGCATGGGTGATGAATGTTGCAGTGAGGAGAAGGCTGGAGGCAGTGGAGATGTCATGTCTGAGGGCAATGTGTGGTGTGAATATAATGCAGAGAATTCGTTGTTTGGAAGTTAGGAGGAGGTGCGGGATTACCAAAACTGTTGTCCAGAGGGCTGAGGAAGGGTTGTTGAGGTGGTTCGGACATGTAGAGAGAATGGAGCGAAACAGAATGACTTCGAGTGTATCAGTCTGTAGTGGAAGGAAGGCGGGGTAGGGGTCGGCCTAGGAAAGGTTGGAGGGAGGGGGTAAAGGAGGTTTTGTGTGCGAGGGCTTGGACTTCCAGCAGGCGTGCGTGAGCGTGTTTGATAGGAGTGAATGGAGACAAATGGTTTTTAATACTTGACGTGCTGTTGGAGAGTGAGCAAAGTAACATTTATGAAGGGGTTCAGGGAAACCGGCAGGCCAGACTTGAGTCCTGGAGATGGGAAGTACAGTGCCTGCACTCTGAAGGAGGGGTGTTAATGTTGCAGTTTAAAAACTGTAGTGTAAAGCACCCTTCTGGCAAGACAGTGATGGAGTGAATGATGGTGAAAGTTTTTCTTTTTCGGGCCACCCTGCCTTAGTGGAAATCGGCCAGTGTGATAATAAAAAAAAAAAAAAATAATACAGCTATACAGCTATCTACAAGGAAGGTTTGATTTTTTTTTTTCTCAACAAACCGGCCGTATCCCACCAAGGCAGGGTGGCCCAAAAAGAAAAACGAAAGTTTCTCTTTTTAAATTTAGTAATTTATACAGGAGAAGGAGTTACCAGCCCCTTGCTCCCAGCATTTTAGTCCTCTTACAGCACGCATGGCTTACGGAGGAAGAATTCTGTTCCACTTCCCCATGGAGATAAGAGGAAATAAACAAGAATGAGAACTAGAAAGAAAATAGAAGAAAGCCCAGAGGGGTATGTGTATATATATGTTTGTACATGTATGTGTAGTGTTACCTAAGTGTAAGTAGAAGTAGCAAGACATACCTGAAATCTTGCATGTTTATGAGACAAAAGACAACAGCAATCCTACCATCGTGTAAAACAATTATAGGCTTCCATTTTACACTCACTTGGCAGGACGGTAGTACCTCTCTGGGTGATTACTGTCTACCAACCTACTACCTAGGAAGGTTTGATATGTCTGCAAGTTATCTTTAATGCATTGCCAAGTCATTCCACATCAGGCAATGCTTAAAACTAGGAGGGAGGGAGGCAAGCCTGGAGACAAATACAACCCTTGTTGCGAATAGATATGAAATTATCGGCACTTTTTTTTTTATTGGATTCCAAGGGTGTCTTCGGATTAGTGAATACTCTTGAAATTGTCTGGAACTTCTATTCATCATTATGTAGTGTTTTATGACTGGATGTACAGTGTGCTTTTTTTACTCTTCTGGTACCGATCTGCACCCAAAACAGTTATAGTTTTGATGAATAAGTGACTCTTGACCTTTAACCCTTTGACTGTTTTGGTCGTATATATACGTCTTACGAGCCACCGTTTTTGACGTATATATACTCATAAATTCTAGCGGCTTCAAATCAAGCAGGAGAAAGCTGGTAGGCCCACATGTGAGAGAATGGATCTGTGTGGTCAGTGTGCACCATATAAAAAAAAACTGTAGCATGCAGTGCATAATGAGAAATAAAAACTCCGACTGTTTTTCTTTTTTTAATTAAAATGTTTGCTTTGCGGTCAATTTTTATATAGTATTTATGGTTGTATTCTCGTTTTCTTGGTCTCATTTGATAGAATGGAAAACATATTATAGAAATAGAGGTGATTTTGATTGGTTTTACTATGAAAAGAACCTTGAAATGGAGCTCAAAGTAGGGGAAGTGTTGGATTTTTGCCGATGCTCAAAAGTAAACAAATGATGTCATTTCCCAATAAATGTCCAAGTAGCCATTTTAATGTACATTCATGAAGGGGTTAACATTATTTATGCAATTATTACAATATTGCAGTAGTCTGCGTAACAGTAAATCTTTTATTTTTTGTTTGAGTAAAAATTCAGAATAGAAAGCAAGAATAATATCAGAGGGGCCTGGAGACGTGACTGATGAACATAGAAAATGTTATTTTAGAGCCAGGAATGTCTGCATTGTTCATTCTGGACCCTATTTTGAAATTCTCATATTTTTTCATTTTTGTGAAATTGGCCAAATTACAAATTTCTGACCATGTTATTGCGTAGTTGAAATCAGTAAATGGGCAGTTTCTTGTACGCAGTTGATAGAAAACAGAGTTCTAAAGAAATAGCTATGAGTTTGGTCGACTGGAACAATGGAATTAGCCTAAAATAGGGCTCAAATTGGGTGAAATAGCTGATTCTTAAATATCGTCGAGGTCGCTAACTTCAAGAGAGCGTAATTCCGTCAGTTTTCCATCAAATTTTGTTCTTTTGGTGTCATTACAATCGGGAAAAGATTATCATTTCATAAGCCCACCCCCCCCCCTCACCAGGAGACACCTCAGGATTTGGGGTTGCGACAGTCTAAGGGTTAATTTCTCTTACTCATACTATTCTTATTTGTTGACTAATGATTGATTGTGATAAGAAATGGATATATAAATAATGAATGCTACTGAATAAGTACTGCAGTCATGTGGGAAAAAGCAGCAGTAGCTGCTTAGAGAATTTGTAAAGAAATACTAAATCAGTATACAATACATACCTTAAAAATTCTACTGGGTATTTTTCTTAACACAGTTGGGAATTATTTTATTTTTTTTATTTTTTTTTTCTTTACAGGTTAGAGCAGACCCTTCGGTAACTTGGTTAGCATGTTGGGTGGAAAATGTGCAGGGTCAAACAAAATATGTAATGCTTAATGCTGCCTCCAAACTTAAAGGTGAAAAGGACTGGCAGAAATATGAAATGGCTCGAAAACTTCATCAGCATGTGGACAGAATTCGTGAACAGTATAGATTAGATTGGAAAAGTAAAGAGATGCGAATAAGACAAAGAGCTGTAGCTCTGTATTTCATTGATAAGGTAAGATCAGTCATATTTCCTGGATGCTTAGATGTCATCAAATAATTTTGAGCTTATTACCTATATTATCTTAAACAAATTAATTTATAGCTATTCCCTGCATTTATGTACCAGTTAGCCCTTCGAGCGGGCAATGAGAAGGATGAAGATCAAGCAGATACGGTGGGTTGCTGTTCTTTGCGTGTTGAGCACATAACACTGCATGAAGAAAAGAATGGCAAAGAATATGTTGTCGAATTTGACTTCTTGGGTAAAGATTCAATTCGCTACTATAATGAAGTCAGCGTGGAAAGGAGGGTATTTAAGAACCTACAACTATTTAAGGAAAACAAGGAAGATGGAAATGACCTCTTTGATCGTCTTAATGTAAGTCTTTGTGAGCATTTTGTGTATATTTTGTCATTAGTTGGGTAGTGCACGTAGACTTTTTGAAATACAGTGGACCCCCTGTTAACGATATTTTTCATTCCAGAAGTATGTTCAGGTGCCAGTACTGACCGAATTTGTTCCCATAAGGAATATTGTGAAGTAGATTAGTCCATTTCAGACCACCAAACATACACGTACAAACGCACTTACATACTTGGTCGCATTGGGAGGTGATCGTTAAGCGGGGGTCCACTGTATCTTGGTTGTGATCTGTTGCTTAGTTTTATTAATCCTTTGACTGTCTTGTACATAAATTTATATTACATTGATGCCACCATTACTCGCGTAGATCTGTGTTTGAAGCACATCTCCCCCAAATATGTGATGAGCATTAAATTTTGGCCTAGAAATAAGAGTATGGGTTTGTGTGGTGAGTGTGCACGGTATAAAAAAAATCCTGCTCCAAGTGTTGTGTGATGAAAAAAGTAAACTTCTGGTCTTGTGTGTGGTATATTCTGGATTGTTTGTTGGTATCAGTTAATAGATATTGGTTGGTTTCAGGACAGGAAGTAGCTTGAAATGGGGCTCAGTAGCAGAAATATTAGATTTTTGCCAGTTTTCCTGATAATAGATATGCCCCCCCCCCCCCTTTGTTTTTTGTATGGGTTTTTACTAGGTCTGCATCAGTTATTAGTTATATTATCCAAGAAATAGGGTAAAACTTCATTTTTTGTTTGATGATGACATGAAAATGGAGGGCGAGTGCAATAAAGGAGAGGTCTCATAATTTGATTAATGAACTGAGTAAAAATGTTTTAATGTCTGGAATGCATACATTATCTATTTTTGACTAATGTGCAATTTATAGAGTAGTTTTGGTAGGTAGATGGGTAGTTTGTTGTGTTCAGTTGATAGAATGGATGGCATACTAGCAAAATAGTGAAGAATTTGGTCAAATTGAACAATGGAATTGACATAAAATAGAATTCAGAGTGGGTATAATTGCAAATGTGGAAATTGTGCCCAGACCACAAACTTTGCTCGTGCTTAATTCCGGAAGTTTTCCATCAAGTTTTTTTTTTTTCCCCCATTACAGTCAGAAAAATTTTCTCTACCCTTTCATACTTTTTTTTTTTTTTTAAATTCCCAACATTGTCAGCACTTTTAATTTGAGGACTTATGACATTGAAGGGGATTCCAGGAGGAGCCTCATTCCTCTAACAAATCACACATTTTAAATTATTAAAATTGCATTTGCTTTATGGCCCACAGGTTTTCTAACTTCATAAATATAATAATAATATAAAGTATACAAGATATGATGTAGGGCGAAATGACAGTAGTTTGTTGGATTATGTATTGGTAGATAAAAGACTGTTGAGTAGACTTCAAGATGTACATGTTTATAGAGGGGCCACAGATATATCAGATCACTTTCTAGTTGTAGCTACACTGAGAGTAAAAGGTAGATGGGATACAAGGAGAATAGAAGCATCAGGGAAGAGAGAGGTGAAGGTTTATAAACTAAAAGAGGAGGCAGTTAGGGTAAGATATAAACAGCTATTGGAGGATAGATGGGCTAATGAGAGCATAGGCAATGGGGTCGAAGAGGTATGGGTAGGTTTAAAAATGTAGTGTTAGTGTGTTCAGCAGAAGTTTGTGGTTACAGGAAAGTGGGTGCGGGAGGGAAGAGGAGCGATTGGTGGAATGATGATGTAAAGAGAGTAGTAAGGGAGAAAAAGTTAGCATATGAGAAGTTTTTACAAAGTAGAAGTGATGCAAGGAGGGAAGAGTATATGGAGAAAAAGAGAGAGGTTAGAGAGTGGTGAAGCAATGTAAAAAGAGAGCAAATGAGAGAGTGGGTGAGATGTTATCAACAAATTTTGTTGAAAATAAGAAAAAGTTTTGGAGTGAGATTAACAAGTTAAGGAAGCCTAGAGAACAAATGGATTTGTCAGTTAAAAATAGGAGAGGAGAGTTATTAAATGGAGAGTTAGAGGTATTGGGAAGATGGAGGGAATATTTTGAGGAATTGTTAAATGTTGATGAAGATAGGGAAGCTGTGATTTCGTGTATAGGGCAAGGAGGAATAACATCTTGTAGGAATGAGGAAGAGCCAGTTGTGAGTGTGGGGGAAGTTCGTGAGGCAGTAGGTAAAATGAAAGGGGGTAAGGCAGCCGGGATTGATGGGATAAAGATAGAAATGTTAAAAGCAGGTGGGGATGTAGTTTTGGAGTGGTTGGTGCAATTATTTAATAAATGCACGGAAGAGGGTAACGTACCTAGGGATTGGCAGAGAGCATGCATAGTTCCTTTGTATAAAGGCAAAGGGGACAAAAGAGAGTGCAAAAATTATAGGGGGATAAGTCTGTTGAGCATACCTGGTAAAGTGTATAGTAGAGTTATTATTGAAAGAATTAAGAGTAAGACGGAGAATAGGATAGCAGATGAACAAGGAGGCTTTAGGAAAGGTAGGGGGTGTGTGGACCAGGTGTTTACAGTGAAACATACAAGTGAACAGTATTTAGATAAGGCTAAAGAGGTCTTTGTGGCATTTATGGATTTGGAAAAGGCGTATGACATGGTGGATAGGGGGGCAATGCGGCAGATGTTGCAGGTGTATGGTGTAGGAGGTAGGTTACTGAAAGCAGTGAAGAGTTTTTACGAGGATAGTGAGGCTCATGTAGGAAAGAGGGAAATTATTTCCCAGTAAAAGTAGGCCTTAGACAAGGATGTGTGATGTCACCGTGGTTGTTTAATATATTTATAGATGGGGTTGTAAGAGAAGTAAATGCGAGGGTCTTGGCAAGAGGCGTGGAGTTAAAAGATAAAGAATCACACACAAAGTGGGAGTTGTCACAGTTGCTCTTTGCTGATGACACTGCTCTTGGGAGATTCTGAAGAGAAGCTGCAGAGATTGGTGGATGAATTTGGTAGGGTATGCAAAAGAAGAAAATTAAAAGTGAATACAGGAAAGAGTAAGGTTATGAGGATAACAAAAAGATTAGGTGATGAAAGATTGGATATCAGATTGGAGGGAAGAGTATGGAGGAGGTGAATGTATTCAGATATTTGGGAGTGGACGTGTCAGCGGATGGGTCTATGAAAGATGAGGTGAATCATAGAATTGATGAGGGGAAAAGAGTGAGCGGTGCACTTAGGAGTCTGTGGAGACAAAGAACTTTGTCCTTGGAGGCAAAGAGGGGAATGTATGAGAGTATAGTTTTACCAACGCTCTTATATGGGTGTGAAGCATGGGTGATGAATGTTGCAGCGAGGAGAAGGCTGGAGGCAGTGGAGATGTCATGTCTGAGGGCAATGTGTGGTGTGAATATAATGCATAGAATTCGTAGTTTGGAAGTTAGGAGGAGGTGCGGGATTACCAAAACTGTTGTCCAGAGGGCTGAGGAAGGGTTGTTGAGGTGGTTCGGACATGTAGAGAGAATGGAGCGAAACAGAATGACTTCAAGAGTGTATCAGTCTAGTGGAAGGAAGGTGGGGTAGGGGTCGGCCTAGGAAAGGTTGGAGGGAGGGGGTAAAGGAGGTTTTGTGTGCTAGGGGCTTGGACTTCCAGCAGGCATGTGTGAGCATGTTTGATAGGAGTGAATGGAGACAAATGGTTTTTAATACTTGACGTGCTGTTGGAGTGTGAGCAAAGTAACATTTATGAAGGGGTTCAGGGAAATCGGCAGGCCAGACTTGAGTCCTGGAGATGGGAAGTACAGTGCCTTCACTCTGAAGGAGGGGTGTTAATATTGCAGTTTAAAAACTGTAGTGTAAAGCACCCTTCTGGCAAGACAGTGATGGAGTGAATGATGGTGTAAGTGTTTTCTTTTTCGGGCCACCCTGCCTTGGTGGGAATCGGCCAGTGTGATAATAAAAAAAAAATAAAGTTATTTATTGGGTGAATTTGGAATAAGAAAATGTAAGAAGACTGGAAACTTAAACTTGTGAGATTGAATCTGAGTGATTTTTTTTATTTTTTATTATCACACTGGCCGATTCCCACCAAGGCAGGGTGGCCTGAAAAAGAAAAACTTTCACCATCATTCACTCCATCACTGTCTTGCCAGAAGGGTGCTTTACACTACAGTTTTTAAACTGCAACATTAACACCCCTCCTTCAGAGTGCAGGCACTGTACTTCCCATCTCCAGGACTCAAGTCCGGCCTGCCGGTTTCCCTGAACCCCTTCATAAATGTTACTTTGCTCACACTCCAACAGCACATCAAGTATTAAAAACCATTTGTCTCCATTCACTCCTATCAAACACGCTCACGCATGCCTGCTGGAAGTCCAAGCCCCTCACACACAAAACCTCCTTTACCCCCTCCCTCCAACCTTTCCTAGGCTGACCCCTACCCCACCTTCCTTCCACCACAGACTGATACACTCTTGAAGTCATTCTGTTTCGCTCCATTCTCTCTACATGTCCGAACCACCTCAACAACCCTTCCTCAGCCCTCTGGACAACAGTTTTGTAATCCCGCACCTCCTCCTAACTTCCAAACTACGAATTCTCTGCATTATATTCACACCACACATTGCCCTCAGGCATGACATCTCCACTGCCTCTAGCCTTCTCCTCGCTGCAACATTCATCACCCATGCTTCACACCCATATAAGAGCGTTAGTAAAACTATAATCTCATACATTCCCCTCTTTGCCTCCAAGGACAAAGTTCTTTGTCTCCACAGACTCCTAAGTGCACCACTCACCCTTTTCCCCTCATCAATTCTATGATTCACCTCATCTTTCATAGACCCATCCGCTGACACGTCCACTCCCAAATATCTGAATACATTCACCTCCTCCGTACTCTCTCCCTCCAATCTGATATCCAATCTTTCATCACCTAATCTTTTTGTTATCCTCATAAGCTTACTCTTTCCTGTATTCACTTTTAATTTTCTTCTTTTGCATACCCTACAATTCATCCACCAATCTCTGCAACTTCTCTTCAGAATCTCCCAAGAGCACAGTGTCATCAGCAAAGAGCAACTGTGAGAACTCCCACTTTGTGTGATTCTTCATCTTTTAACTCCACGCCTCTTGCCAAGACCCTCACATTTACTTCTCTTACAAACCCATCTATAAATATATTAAACAACCACGGTGACATCACACATCCTTGTCTAAGGCCTACTTTTACTGGGAAATAATTTCCCTCTTTCCTACGTACTCTAACTTGAGCTTCACTATCCTCGTAAAAACTCTTCACTGCTTTCAGTAACCTACCTCCTACACCATACACCTGCAACATCTGCCACATTGCCCCCTATCCACCCTGTCATATGCCTTTTCCAAATCCATAAATGCCACAAAGACCTCTTTAGCCTTATCTAAATACTGTTCACTTATATGTTTCACTGTAAACACCTGGTCCACACACCCCCTACCTTTCCTGAAGCCTCCTTATTCATCTGCTATCCTATTCTCTGTCTTACTCTTAATTCTTTCAATAATAACTCTACCATACACTTTACCAGGTATACTCAACAAACATATCCCCCTATAATTTTTGCACTCTCTTTTGTCCCCTTTGCCTTTATACAAAGGAACTATGCATGCTCTCTTCCAATCCCTAGGTACCTTACCTTCTTCCATACATTTATTAAATAATTGCACCAACCACTCCAGAACTATATCCCCACCTGCTTTTAACATTTCTATCTTTACCCCATCAATCCCGGCTGCCTTACCCCCTTTCATTTTACCTACTGCCTCACGAACTTCCCCCACATTCACAACTGGCTCTTCCTCACTCCTACAAGATGTTATTCCTCCTTGCCCTATACACGAAATCACAGCTTCCCTATCTTCATCAACATTTAACAATTCCTTGAAATATTCCCTCCATCTTCCCAATACCTCTAACTCTCCGTTTAATAACTCTCCTCTCCTATTTTTAACTGACAAATCCATTTGTTCTCTAGACTTCCTTAACTTGTTAATCTCACTCCAAACTTTTTCTTATTTTCAACAAAATTTGTTGATAACATCTCACCCACTCTCTCATTTGCTCTCTTTTTACATTGCTTCACCACTTCTGAGTGATATGGACACATTTTCATAGTTAAAAATTTTCTTATTGTAACCTGGATTATGTTTGTATTGGGGTCTTTGTATGACCCAGTATAACTTATTTCACTAAGCTTTTATTTAGCCCTTTTAAAATGCATTATGTTGTACTTTTTTCCTTTATACGCTCCGGCCATGTCCTGCCTAGCTATGGTGACCTGACAATAAAGATGACACTTTCACTCAGTCACTGTTTTGCCAGAAGTGTGCTGCCATAGTTCAAATAATCTTCTAAACAGCAACATCCTTACCCCTCCTTCATAGTGCAGGCATTATGCTTCCCACTTCCAGGACCCAAGTCTGGTTAACTTGTTTCCCTGAATCCCTTCATAAATGTTACCTTTCTCACTCCTAACACACTTATACAAGCCTGTTGGATGTTCAAGCCCCTAGCACTCAAAAACCTCCTTTACCCATCCTCCCTCCAACTTTTTCTCTCTAAATGCCCAAATAACCTCAATAACCCCTTCTCAGCATTGCTGCACTACCTAATCTCCACATTGAATTCTCTGCATAATATTCACACCACATGTTGCCCTTAAACACAACACCTCTACTGCCTCCAGCCAACTCCTCACTGCAACATTTAAAACCCATGCTTCACATCCATATAGCAGTGGTGGTACCACTGTACTCTGGTACATTCTCCTTTCTTTGCCTCCATAGATAAAGCTCTGTGTCTTCAGATTCTTCAGTGCATTGCCCACTTTTTTTCCTTTGTCAGTTCTGTGGTTCACCTCATTTCTCACAGAACCATCTGATGACACATCCGCTTCTAAATAAGCTATATTATTTTAATTTCTTTTTCAGACGCAAATCCTTAATAAACATTTGAATGAACTGATGGATGGCCTAACTGCAAAAGTTTTCCGTACATACAATGCCTCTCGTACCCTACAAGAACAGCTAGATTTACTCACAAATGATGATGATCCTATCCCTGCCAAAATCTTATCGTATAACAGAGCAAACCGAGCAGTTGCAATATTATGTAACCATCAGCGTGCCGCCCCCAAGACCTTTGACAAATCAATGGCGAGTTTGCAGAAGAAGATGGAGGATAAGAAAGAACAGGTTGAGGAGGCAATGAAGGAATGCTCACAATTAAAAAAGGCAGTAAAATCATTTGGCTCTCAAAAAGATAAAGCAGCTTACGAGAAGAAGAAGAAAGCTTTGGAACGTTTGAAGGAACAGTTGGAGAAGCTGGAACTCTCTGCAACAGACAAGGAAGAAAACAAAACTATTGCCTTGGGTACTTCAAAGCTCAACTACTTGGATCCTCGTATATCTGTAGCATGGTGCAAGAAATATGGAGTACCAATTGAGAAGGTTTACAATAAGACTCAACGGCAGAAGTTCCAGTGGGCAATTGAGATGGCAACTGCAGACTATAATTTCATGGGAGAACCAATGAACATTAAGCCTGAGGATGAAGAGGAGGAGGAAGATGAGTAGGCAGTCTTCTATCATAAACTGTCTTGAGAATGACCAAAGATGATATTTTGGTAATTTGTAGTGAAGATGTATTCTCAGAGTATCTTGTACATCTTACCCTAGAGATCCATTGTGGTCCACTGTTTTTAAAATCACTATATTATAGTGAAAATGTGCAACTGTGAAACAGAACATAAGAATTTAATTATAGAACTATTTTATTGAGGTTCAATTGTGTACCTTGAGTATTTATTACACATCCATAATTTTAAGTGTTTGTATGTAGTTTTGCTATGCTAAACTATTTTGCGTGTATAAATTGATTTTTCTATTAAATAGTGTAGGTCTGGAAATGTTAACAGAAATAAAAGGTTTTTACTGAACACTTTGACTTCAGGCCCTGTGGGTTGATTGGTTTGTACGTATTTATGATTTATATTAAAGATCATTTATTATTTTATATGAATTGTCATATATAGAAGTGTAGTAAGTATACATCTTAAATTATTGGCCTATAAATATGAAATTGTTGAAGAATCTCGTATGGAGAGTGAGTGACTTCACCTGAGTGGGCATTTTGCAGTGGCTAATTAACAGCCCTTTTATGGTCACGTGCCACTGCATAATTTGACAGTGATCAAAATCCTCAAAGAATACACAGGTAGTTTTTATAATTGAATAGTGAATTATCATCATACCATATTTAAAGTGTTAAACTGGAAAGAGAAGACTGAATTTTGTGACTTGGGCAGTGAAGTCTCTCTGGTCTCTCTTAAAGTTTAACTATGACTGACTTAAATAAGAAGCTAACTCGTATTCTAGGTAAGTCACCACTGATATTAAAACTGCACTTTATTTTAAATTGGTGTATCTAGGCAGAGTTCAAATTTACATTATACATCAGTATTTATTGAAGAGGGTTTCATAGTTGAAAAGTAACACTCTGGTCTTTCAACCCAAGAGGTAGGTTTGAGCCTTTGACTAGGCAGGGTTAGCAAGACATTATTTGCTGTAGCATGTAACACAAGCCAGTCACTGTTTTCGTCAGAGTTCTAGGCTAATTATCAGTTATGCCTATGAGGTGCCACCCTATGTTTTTATAATTATGTAAATTGACTTTTGGGGCTTAGTTACAGGATGGTTGTGTTGGGCAGCTAGTGGTATGTACTGTATGGCTGTTTACCACATCCCTTGCTGGCTGTCAATTAGAATAGCTTTTTAAGACGTCTTTTAAGTTATAATTGGTGTAACTTTTTGGTAAATTTATGGAATTTGATTGTGTTGGCTGATGCACCAGTGGAATACTTGATACATAAGGGGTCATGATGTAGGCATCCTATGTGAAAATATGTATACTGTAAACCAGGATGTATAGCCTTTCAAGAAACTCACGGGACCATTAAAGTAAACAAGTTATTCTGGACCTAGTTGTTGGAACTTGGCTAAAATTGGACTTAACATTATGGTCTGTGTTTTCACATCTCTAAAATTTATAATAGATCTTCCCAGTTCAGCTGGCCATTCCATACCATTATGTGATATGCACTGTGTACATAATTATTATCATCAATAAACCTTCATCATGGAAATTTTGTTGTATATCTTCATGACCTTCAAAAGTTGTTCATATGCAAGGAGTTTTTCTCTGTCACTTTTTTCTCCATCTTTTGAGCAACTTGAGCTCCAAGACCTTCCAATTCTCATAGTGGACATATATTTACTACCTACCTGTGGGCGAAGGTGCTTCCCCTGCAATGTAACTCGCTTACTTTTGACTGCCGTGAACTTCCATCCTCAGTTTATGCTGCAGGACACCATTTACAAGTCCGAGAGTTGATCCTTACACCACATCAGTGTGGAAATTGCTGGCGCTTCAGCCACTTGGCAAAATATTGCAGGTCCATGGCAGAATACCCAGTCTGTAGTGCTACAGACCATACCAGTACATCCTGCAGCCTACCTCCCTCTTGCCTTAATTGTAATGAGCTCACCCAGCTTATTCTTGCCGTTGCCAAGTTTACTTAAAAAGAATGAAAAATCCGCTGTCTCACAGAGAAAGGCGGTTTCACTTACACTATGGCAGTCCTCTCTGCCTCCAAGGGAGACTTCCACAACTTTCTTATTCTAGAGTTACTAAGTGGCCTCTGGCCTCGGTGGTACCTACTTCCACAATCTCCTCTGGTCACAACTTCATTACTTCTGTATCCAGCTTTTGCAGCCCTGGACTCCACAGTCCCTGCTCGTCTCATACTGGCCTTGAGTCTTCAACTTCTCACTCGTATGTTTGTGTGTCTACAAGACCTTCCACAAATACACCTTCCCATCACCTCTCCTCCAAAGTAAAACATCCCCTAAGTTCAGATCTCCTTTAGCCCCTCTTTCACTTATCCTTCCCAAACATCTTTCCAGTCTCTGTGCCTGGTACTTTATCTCTTACTGTCTGTGTTATGGATGTGGAGGTTCGTACTCCTCCCTCATCCAGTTCCGTCCTCTCCTATCCCTTCCCAAGTTTCTTCCTCTTCTATACCTTTCCAAGTTTCTTCCTCTCCTGTCCCCACCCACGTTTCTTCCCAAGTTCACCGTAACCTCTCATCTCCCCCCTCCCCCCTCCCCCCTCCCCCCTTCTTTGGTAATTTCCATTGTCTCCGATCTTTACTCACCCTTCCCCTTCTATCTCTGATGTCGTTTTACCTGCAGCTCCCTTGTCCTATGAAATGCTTGAAGCTATCTCTGAATATATTGACGAGACAAAACCAATGATGGACACTGATCCACTTCCCATCATGCCTACTCCTCCTCCTCCTCACTTATCTAAACCATCTACACGACTTTCTTCTCAGCGTTGCTTACTCATTTTCCACTACCTCCAGACTTTCCTAGCAGAGACAAATCTTATAATGTGCCGTTTAGGTTTCTAGAACCGGAATCAACGCATTCTGCTTGCCGATCAGCAGCAGCTGGGCCTGATGGCATTCATATTCGAATGCTTCAGCATTTACATCCGTCAGCCCTTGCAGTCCTCTGTCTTTTTAGTCTTATTTGGTCACAAGGAGTTCTTCCCCAGTTGTGGAAAACTGCTGGTGTTCTGCCTTTTCGTAAAGCAGGGACTTCGGGCCATTATGCCTTACACTATCGTCCGATTGCTCATACCAATGCAGTTTACAAGTTGATGAAACATCTAGTAAACAGACATTTGGTGGGGTATTTAGAGACAATGGCCTTTCCATTAGTCTATTTAGCTTTCATAGCCTCTTAACTATTGACCTCTTGCTCCGCTTAGATACCTATGTTTGCAACGTATTTGCTAGAAACCATTCGGTTATCGCAGTCTTTTTTGATGTTGAAAAGGTATACGACAGTATTTGGAATGCATCATTTTGGCCCAAGCTAATTATTTGGGCCTCCGAGGCAATCTCACTTTTCCTTAAAAACTTCTTATCCGAGAGACATTTCCACGTTCGGAGTAATAATTTGCTTTCCCCGGACTTTGTCAGAGCTGGTGTCCCTTAGGGATGTGTACTTAGCACCACTCTTCCTGCTAGCTATAAATAATCTGGCCTCTGTTCTCCCTTCTAATATTTGGTCATTACTTTATTTATGACTTTGCTATAGCTTGTGCAGGCGCTGACTGTCACCTAATAGCAACCTCACTCTAGGATGTTGTCAACCGTGTTTCCCATTGGGCCACTACTCATGGGTTTAAATTTTCTGGTTTAATGAGTTTAGCGCTTGGTTTTGATTATAATAATGAAAATCTCCATCTTTTGATACCTCTCAAATGTATGACCCTTAGGGGTTTAGTGCTTAAATTGATTATAATAATGATAACCTTCAAGAGGTTCCTTGATGGTGTGGGGCTCTTGATCCAAGGAGTTGGACTTTTTCCTTCTTTTCTTTGGATATATAACATCCTTCGATGCCCTACATTGTGTAGATACCTTTTATGGGTTTAACGCTTGATTTGATTATAATATTTTATTCACAAAACTTTTTTCCCCGGGATTTGACTGCATGATTCAGTTTCCAAAATTTGATTTTCCCCTTTGCTGGTGACCCCTCAAGGAAGGCCCTTTTAAATGCGGGAAGGGGGCCTTGATCTGGGGAATTTTGGATCTGTGCTCCATTTTCCCCTGAATTAAACCTGAATCCCTTTCCCACATCCCCCCACGGGCGTTTTTATAACCCTGGGGGGTTTAAAGCCCCCCCTTACTAAATAAAAATTGATGCGGGTGTTTGGGCTTTGGGTCCGGGAATTAAACCCAAAACCCCTTTTTTTCCCCTTTGGGATTGAACCAAATTTCCCCCCCTTTTCCCCCCCCGGTTTCTCCGGGAACCCCTATATTTTTAACTCTTTTTCCAGAATTAATCGGGAAATTTTTTTGAAATTTATTGAAATGGTCTTTTTTTTTGTGACTGCAAACTTGCAGGTAAAAGAACTTCATTGCTAGAAAAACCTCAGGGGTTTTTTCATCCCATGGGGGACCTTTTGGTCAAAATTGGCCCTGCCCCCTTATTTTTCCCTTGGATTAAATCTAACTGCTTCCCATTTTTTCCCCCATGTGTTTGTAGACCTCTCCCAAAAAGGGGAGGTTTTTGGAGGCCAGTGGGGGGCTGTTAATCCAGAAAAATTGGACTTCCCCCCAGTTTTCCTTGGATTAAACCTAAAATGCCTCCCAGGTACTAATAAATCCATATGACAAAAAATGCCCCATAAAAAAAATAATTTTAAACCACTGGGGGTATGCCCCCCCGACATAAATACTCGTATCTTTTAATAAAAAAAATTTTTCTTGTATCCTCTAGGGGGTTCCTTGATGCCAGAAGAGGCTTTTTTGATCAAAGGGAATTGGGACTCTTTTTTCCCTTTAGGTACCCAGATTGCCCCATTCCCTAGCTGCTCTGGGGTTTTTTGGGGTTTAGCGCTTTCCTGAAAAATGTTCGGGGTTTATTAACCCGAAGGAAAGGGGGGGTAACATCTTTTAAATTTTTGGGTTAACTTAGAAAAAATTTTATCCCTGGTAAAGGGGCCCTTGATCTGGGGGGAAATGGAACTTTTCTCCATTTCCCCCCTGAATCCTTCCATCCCCCGGGCGCGGGGAAAAATTCCCATCGGGTTACGCCCCCCGGGGATTAATAATAATAAAAAAAAATTAGGTTTTTTAACCCCGAAAGGTTTAAACCAAAGAAAATCAGCGCGTCATCGAAGACTCTTTTTTTCCCAAACTGGGTCCTGTAACCCATGCCCCCCCCAGGATGCCCCCCCAAAACCAAATCGCAAAAACCCCAAAGGTGCCTACTTGTTTGCTGGGAAAACCGGGGGACAGTAGGTCTAAGGAAACTGCCCAACTTTTTCCACTCCCGTCTGCTGTATAGCCCTTGTGGCTTAAGCGCTTTTTTTTTTATTATAAAAAAAAATAATAACACTCACGTCAGGGAAACGAACCACGGGCCCAAAATGTTTTTTGGGCCGACTTTGGAAACCCTTTTCGGTTTAAGTCCCGAACCCAAACGTCGTGAAGCTTTCCCCCTTCTATGTGCGGGTTTTTTATGTTTTGTTCCATCACGGTATTTGGGCCCTTTTTTATTTTTATTTTAGCTAAGTGCGGGTTTTAACCAAGCCCCCCGGAAAACTGCAAGAGGCCTAAAACAAGAAAGTCACTTGTTATTTGATTTTTCCACCGAAGTGGGTAGTTTTTTTGGGACCCCATATCCATCCTTGGGCGGTAGAGCAAAAACATATGGGTACTCAAAAGGGCCCGGAACCCAGGGCCCCCCAAAAGGGGTTTAAACCCAATTTCATTTTTGTTTTAAATCTACATATCTATACCCCTCCCGTTTTCTGGTTACAAGGGAAATTTTGGAAAATTTGCTTAGTATATCTGGTAAACTTATTTTATTAATAAGATATCTTGACATGTTTTAGGGTTTTAATCCGTCTGTCCGTTTTTCCTCAAAAAGTGGGCCCAATTTAAGCACGGTGTTCAAGAGAGTGGGCCATAAGGGGCCCGACACATAATTTCATTAATTTTTATCATCATCTTGTGTCTCCCAAACGCCCAAAATACTTGCAAAAAAGACAAAACCTGGCCACTACATTATTTATACTTTTAAACCCAAAACCCAAGGCCCGGGCCCAAAAAAACATCAACAGACTTGTAAAACCCAAACCAAAGCCTGGCCACTACAACATTAAATCATAAATTGTAACCAAGAGGGGTCACACACGTTTAAAAACCCCTACCAAAAAAGTGGGCAGGGGGCCCCAACTGTTCAAAATGCCTCCCACATACATAAGGGGGGTTACCAACAGACCCCGGCAGTCCCTTTCCCAAACTGGACTGGGCAAGCACCTAAAAATCGGGTTTCCGACCAGCCGGGCTGTGGCTCGTACTTTGGGTTTGGGGTGCAGCCCAGCAAACAACAGCCTGGTTGATCCCGCTCTGATCCACCCGGAACCTGGTCACAGACCGGGCCCCCGGGGCGTTGACCCCCCGGGAAATCCCTCCAGGTAAACTCCGGGAAGCCAAGTCTGGCCCCTACAACATTAGTCAGAAATTGGAACCAAGCTAAATTTTGGGCCCCTACAACA